TACATGCACAAAATAATAATATATAAGTCTTAAATTCAAAATTTAAGTTGGAAAGTATTATGAATTACAATGATACAATAATTCAAACACCATTACGATACAGTTCAACGTATAGGCATAAAAGAGAGCAAGAGACTTACAATGCTAGTTGTCTGATTTTTTTAGGTGATGCTTTCTAAGTGACATAAATGTATAAATTATATTATTTTCATGAGAAAATATGTCACTTAATGAATAATTAAACAAATTATAAGTAATAACAAGTAATTTAGTGGTAAGTTTTTTGAAAAAAAAAATGACTAAATAATTAAAACCGGCAAACCTGGTGAGGTCTTAGACTCTTGAAGACGTCTCTGTGTACTTTACAAATACAGCGGCGACGGGCGGCGGCAGTTGCCCAGGGAGCTGCTACCTGCTAGCTTCTCCTTCATCAGGACCAAAACACCGGCAGCAGCGGTTGGCCGAACGCTAGCAGCAGACAACGGGTTCTTTTTCAGAACAAGAACGGCATAACTACATCGGCTTCGCTTTCAGGATCAGCCGCGGTACTTAGGAATTTCTGAATTACGATAGCAAATCATGGAGACTGAGAAACTAGGTGCGGGTGCGGCACTGGGATGGGACCGGTGGATCGCGAGTTCGTGAGGCAGAGGATTAGAGACGAAGAGCGCGAGATGGCGGCGGCGCTTGGGATCAGGACTTCGCAACGCTCGGAGCGGAGGCAGCGTCATGACTTTTTCTTTTACATTATTAACATTATTAGCAGATGTATTACTACTAATATGCAGCCTATTCTCTTGGTTGTATTCGGTTTATAAGCCATGACTTATCAGCCAATAAATAATATTTTTCTCTCACACTAAACCAGCCAACAGTACTTTCAGTTATGGTTTATAAGTCAAACCAGCCCAAACGAACAGGGTGATAATGTGGCCCGCAGGGTATGCCAGTGCATACCTGGCATACCCTGTAGATCCGTCACTGGAAAGGAACAAGTGGTCACGGACGTCCTGTTCCGCAGCACTATTTCGACAGTACTGTTCAGCGAACGAACAGTGTTTTTCTCTTACACTAAATCAGTCTAAGTATCAGCATAAGTTAAATTTCAGCGAAACGAACAGGTCCTCTATTTTTGTCCTTGCGACAAGCCTCTATCATTTTTCATGCTCGCTAAAATTTCTATAAGGTTTTTGGATATACTCATACCCATTCTAATATATACGTGTTGGAGTGGCTTCAGATAAATACGAGTGCAACCATATAAAGACTGTATGTGAAGTTAGATAGCAACCCTGGAAACAGCCATGTTGGCACGTTGCCCTGACAACAATGGAAATTCATTGGCGAACGAGCCTGTGGCTCAGTGGTAGTACTCGCAGTGGCGAGTCTGCCCGCCAGCGTTCGATCCCCGGCGATCGCAACGTTGGTGTCGCATCCGGGTGTGTGCTGTGCAACACCCAGTCTCCGCTTGGACCGGTTCCAAGTGTCTACCTCTCATGTGTGATGCTACAATTGGATTGTGACGTGCCCGTCGTGCCTACGAAATCAGTAGATTTCAGTGATCTCAAGAAGGACGCGGTCTTTAAATTTAAGTGTGCATATGAACATATGCTAAAGCTGTATCTAGATGAGAGGCAATAAAAAAAACAATGGAAATTCATTGTCACTTGAATCACGTGCCACTTTTTCCACACGTACACATCAAGAACGGTAGAAACACACGCCCATTTATGTTCCTTCCATCTTCCCCTCATTCTTTTTCCCAGGCCGGCGGCCCAGCCACACTATCATCACCTGCAGCTGGCAGCGACCTCACCGCCCACCTGCCACCCCTACCTCCATGACAATTGCTCCCACCGCCCACTAGTGGCCTCACCATCTGACCAGACCACAGCCCGCCCTATAATCTGCTCCCAATGCAAGGCCCCTCGAAGCTCAGAGAGAATCAGAGCCCCCATTGAAACCGTGAACCCTAAGCTCAATCACCGTTGCCTAGCCGCCGTCGCTGACCTCCACCTCTATCCGCACCCAACGTCGACCACTCGCTACTATCAGTATTATTGTCTTGTAACTAGCTAGCTACGACTACTTAAAACCGTTCTGGCTATGAGTAATCAGTGGAGATAGTCCTGTTATCATTACTGGGTTACAAATCGACAGCAATAACATAAGTGTTCTATCGGTTCGTATACGTAACACAAGATTTTGTTACAGTTTACATGTTGCTTTAATATCTATGCTCGCACATAGAGGTTGCATTGGCTAATATCAGTGTTTCGTTTCATACCACCGACAAACGAAATTTAATTGGTGTCATATGTTCATGACTCTTGGATATGGGTAATACATAAGACACGAAGATTTATACTCGTTGAAGTTGAGTGCCATATGTCTAGTGGTCGGACGGTGGTCTGTATTACTGTGTCTCAGAGTGCTCAGAGTTCAAGTAGGCGCTATGAATGTTACAAGATGTGTTATGTTTCTCTTCTTCCTACTCTTTAGGGGTTCTCATCCGCCTTTATTGCCATGTTCGCTTGGCTGATAAGTTATGGCTGAAAGTACTGTTGGCTAATTTGTTGTGAGAGAAAAATACTGTTCGTTGGCTGATAAAGTACGGCTTATAAGCCAAGCGAACATGACGTATATTTCCAAGAGGAGAGGTTGCAAGCACATTTATTTGGTAGTGTTGTTACTATATCATGTGGAGTTTTGTTCGACTAGTTCCGGAGACGTCATCCTTTGTGGTGTTACTATACTGCATTATCCTGTATTTTGCTTGACTCCTAGCATCTGGTCGGTCCAAGGGGCAACAAGGACGGGGCCATCTGGCTAGGGCTCTACATTGGGGCGGCGGTAGCACACTAGTGGCATTTCTTAGGAAGCTCGCCAACTCCATGGCCTAGTGCTGATGATCACAATGAACTTAGATGCGCCTTAGCGGCTATGACCGACGGGGACAGGGCGGAGGCAGTGGGTAGGAGCACCTCGACTAGGCCAACAGTGGCGCACGTTGCTGGAGATGTGCAGGGGAGAAAGCCGGTGGCGCACAACACGTCCAAAAGTTTGGGAGAGAGGATATGGTTTGCTCTCCCCTTGGGTTGAGGAAGGTATTTCTCTCAATTGAGGAAAAAATAGAAAAAAATAAAATGAAAAGACGATGAGATAATTTTTTCTATTCAATTATCTTTTCTTAAAAAATGGTTAGTTGGAATTGCTCTAATGTAACAACCAGGAATAGACAAATAGTTTTTCATGCTCCCTACACTGCAGTGCCCAAAAAAGGAGAATAATTCTAGCGACGAAGCAACGCGGCCATAGCAGTTAGGCGCATGAGAAACGAAGAATAATTTAAGCGACAAAGAAGGGTCACTGTAGCAGTTAGCCACTTGAAAATGAAGAAAAATTCAAGCGATGAAGAACCACCATCATAGCAATTAGGGCCTTAGATGAGGGCTTCTTCTTGCGTTGGTCAATTGTTTCGCACGCACCCACTCACTATTGCTCACTCTCCCGCTCTCCTCTCGTCTCTGGTGGTAGCAATGCCACTACCGTGCCACCTTTCTCTTGGCCCGACCCTCTCCCCGCTTACTGGTTGTCCCCCACCGTTGTGGCCACGGTGCCTCCACATCCCCTTGTCTCTCCCACCACCATTGTTAGGCCTATCTACTCTCATCCTACAGTGGCAACTCTTTCCCCTAGCCTCTTCCCATTCGATAGAAGAAGAAGCTTCTAGAGTCATCAGATTTTGATCCAATAGATAATAATCGTTATTGTCTGTTTATATACCAAAAAAATCAGATATATACGATGATAATTGTTATTCTTGCAACAACAAGCAAACTATACAACACTTGTTTTCCGATTGTCATATTGCAAGAATTATTTGGAGGATTGTTTTGCATTTGGTTTACAGCCTCCGAAGGACTTATTAGATTTTTAGGGGTCATGGGCTCAACACGTACATATTAAATTGCATTCTCTAGTTTGGCTGGGTGCAATTGCTATTTGCTGGTATATTTAGTTGGCTAGAAATGACACGACATTTGATAAAAAAAAGATTATTTTTCTACTTACAAGTAATTTTCAGAGCAACCTGCTAGACGTGTTTCTAGTCGGGGCTTATCATTTGCTAGAAACCGTGGCAATGGATATCTTCGCAAAGAATATGTGTCTGTTTTCTAGTAGGCTTAGTGCTTAGTTAGTCATTGAGTTTGAGTTTGTCTCAAAACCTTATTTTTAGTTTTTGTGAGTCTTTAATCAATCAAAGTTAGATACGTAATAATAAATGACTGTGTGCAAAACTCTCCTAGAGGCCGAAATAAATATTTGTTTTAAAAAATAAGGTATATAGAATCTGTTTGCTTGACACTACTAGAAAACAGACCTTTCACCTATTTTGATTTTAGCCTTTAGTCTTGATATTTTTTGCGTTCGGGACTAAAGGACTTTTAGTCCTGGTTCGTAATACCAACTGGGACTAAAAGTCATATTTAGTCTCGGTTGGTGTCACCAACCCGGAGTAAAAGTTCACCAACTTTTAGTCCCGGTTGGTAACACCAACTGGGACTAAAGGGTGATCTTTTAGTTCCGGTTGATGTTTTCAACCGGGACTAAAGGTCTTTTACCCGGGACTAAAGGTCTCCCACGAGTCTATTCAAAAGGAGAGCGCACATAACTCTGTCAAAAGTAGTGTGCAGTTGAGTTGGTAATGTACCTACGCGCGAGGAGAGAGGTGTTGGGTTCGAATCTCACGTAGAGCGAGCGAGGCTTTGAGGATTTTCTTTATTTTTTTTCTTTCGTGGGTCCTGGTTAGGAAAACTGAGACTAAAAGGTCTTTCCAACCAGGATTAAAACCCGTTTGTCTGGTAGTGTGAATACCTAGATTAGGCTCCAACCCAAACAGCAGCTAATATATTTATTTTCATTCCATCGTCAGCTAGAGTAAAATACTGTCAGGTGCGTTTCGAGTTTCTTTGTGGATCCGCAACGACCGACGCCGAATGAGAGATGCGTGGTCCCCACTCCTCAACTACGCCCACCTCAGCGGCGTCCTCGCCCGCTGCGGCCGCGCCGGGGACCTCCGCCTCGGCACCGCGCTGCACGCCATCGTCGCCAAGAACCCCACCCACTTCCGCCTCTGCCCACACGGTGCCAGCTTGCACCACGTGCTCGCCGTATGGAACTCCCTCGTCGCCATGTACGGCCGCTGCGGCCGCCGCGGGGACGCCGCCAGGGTGTTCGACGAAATGCCCCTCCGGGACTCCGTGTCCTGGAACTCGCTCCTCGCCGCCTCCGCCTCGGCCACGGATGCGCTCACGCTGCTCAGGCGGATGCTGCGCTCCGCACCAGGCGCCGCCGCGTGCGACCACGCCACGTTCACCACCGTCCTGTCCGCATGCGCGCGTGCTGACGGGGGCGGGGGCTGGGGTACGGGCGCCGCGTCGCTCCCCGTGGTGCACGGACTGGCGGTGTCGTGTGGCTTCGACGCCGAGGTGTCCGTCGGGAACGCGCTGATCACTGCCTACTTCGAGTGCAGCTCCCCAGGCTCGGCGGAACGGATGTTCGACGCCATGGCAGACAGGAACGTCATCTCGTGGACGGCCATGGTCTCCGGGATGGCTCGGGCAGAACGATATAGGGAGAGTCTGTCTCTGTTTCGGCAGATGAGGCACGCGGTGGACGCCAACAGGGCCTCATACTCAAGCTCTTTGTTAGCATGTGCCGGATCACTTGCCACCAGGGAAGGGCAGCAGATTCATGGGCTTGCCGTTAAGGCTGGGTTTGAGACTGATCTCCATGTCGAGAGTGAGCTCATGGATATGTACTCCAAATGTGGGTTGATGGAGGATGCGCTAAGGGTGTTCCACTCCTGTCAGGATCCTGATGAAGTTTTCTTGACCGTGATTCTTGTTGGGTTTGCTCAAAATGGACTGGAGGAGAAGGCATTCGGATTGTTTGCTGAGATGGTCGGGAAAGGAATCCACATTGATGCAAACATGGTTTCTGCAGTCCTGGGGGCCTTCGGTGCTTCCGCGCCATTTGCTCTTGGGAAGCAGATTCACGCATTGGTCATCAAAAAGTGCTTCGGACGGAACACCTATGTCTGCAATGGTCTGATCAATATGTATTCCAAATGCGGTGAACTACAGGAGTCTATCGAAGTGTTTGATGGAATGCCGAGCAAGAATACGATTACATGGAATTCCATCATTGCAGCCTTTGCCCGACATGGTCATGGTTCGGAGGTTTTTGGATTGTTTGAGTCCATGAAAGCCGATCGTGTCAAGCCGACTAATGTCACATTCTTGTCACTGCTTCACGGATGCAGCCATGTTGGATCAGCCAGGAAAGGACTGGAGATACTGAATTCCATGTCATCACAATATGGAATCCATCCAAAGGTGGAGCATTATGCATGTGTGGTTGACATGCTTGGCCGAGCCAGCCAGCTGGATGACGCCAAAGCATTCATAGAAGATGGACCCTTCAAGGACAGCGCTCTCCTCTGGCAGGCCTTGATGGGAGCTTGCAGCTTCCATAAGAACTCAGAAGTCGGAAAATATGCAGCAGAGAAGTTGCTCCTCCTGGACCCTGACTGCACTGCCGCTTATGTCTTGCTCTCAAACATCTACTCATCTGAGGGCAGATGGGATGACAGAGCCAGGATCATGAAGAGGATGAGAGAAAAGGGCTTGAGGAAGGACACTGGCAAGAGCTGGATTGAGCTGGAAAAGGAGGTCCGTTCTTGTGTCATTGGGCCAAGGTCTCACCCTGATGATGTGCTGATGCAGTTGTCTGCAGTTGCCAGTGATCAAGAAGATCTTATAGAGAGCAATGCTCTCTGAAATTTCAGATGTCTATCTTCCATTCTAGTTTCTTGTTTACATATCTGATTTTCCATGGTCAACTGGGCATCATACATGATAGTCGCTATACATGTTTTAGGATTGTTTATTCATATATCTCGCCTGAAATGTTTACAGAATGCATTCTGGTTTGCTTCATCAATGGGTGTCTTGCCCTCACGAGTCACTCATCTCAGTTGCGTTCAAAAAAAAAAAGTCACTCATCTCAGAAGATGGATAAGCAGGCGAAGGTGGACATGCTCTCCATACCAGCCCGTAAGGGAATGAGATAGCACGCATGGAGGTAGCAGATGGGAAGATCGAAGGATGTACCACAGCGAAGAGGGAGCATTGGCGTCGCCGCTGGCCCTATTGGGCAGCATCTACTTTCTCCGCTTCAAATTATAAGATGTTTTGGCTTTTCTGATACATTGCTTTTATTATGTATCTAGATAGTGTATATTTAAGTACATAGCAAAAACTATGTATCTAGAAAAGAGAAAATGTCTTATAATTTGGAACGGGGTACAAGGGAACTATGTATGCATAATAGCTTGTATAGTGTTGACCTTGGTAGTGATAATGATGCAAATGCAAATCTGATTTCACACCTTTGTATCTGCAACCATTCAGACTATGTACATAACGTATGAATGGTCATGTTTAACAAAACCATAGCAAATAGAGTTGCTTAAATCTAGATCTAGTAGAGAGCAATAAAAAGGGCAGACCCAGTGTCGGATGCTGCCACATAAGTGGGGTCTGGGGAAGGGATAAACCGAGACAAGCCTTTCCGCCGTAAAATCTGCGGAGATATTGCTTCGAACCCACGACTTGGTGACTCAGTGAGACATCTCTCACCACTACACCAGACCTGCCCTTCTATCTAGTAGAGAGCAATGCTTTGTGAAAATGTCAGGTGTCTATCGTCCATTCTAGTTTCTTGTTTACATGTCTGATTTTCCATGTGCAATTGGGCATCATACATGATAGTCGCTATACTATGTTTCAGGATTGTTTATTCATATATCTCGCCTGAAATTTGTGCAAAATTCATATATCTCGCCTGAAATTTGTTTATTCTGGTTGCCTTCACGAGCCACTCATCTCGGAAGATGGATTCGCAGGCAAATGTGGACATGCTTCATAGTTCATACAGCGCGTAGGGGAAGGAGCCGCATGATGTCCTTGTATGGCATCAACCTATCTGATTTCACTCCTTTGTATCTGCATCCTTTCAGACTCTGTACAGAACGTATGAACGATCATGTTTAATAAAACTGTAGCAAATGGAGTTGCTTGGATCCAGTGCTAATGACTTTGGTATGATATCGTAACATCATAGCAACAGCTAAGTTCGCATCCAAAAAGGCTAATTCCAGTCTCCACCGGGAACAAGATTGGCCGCAGCAGCTGGAATAAGTGGATAACTGTCCAAATCACCAGATGCCACATTCACGTTACATAATGAAGCCCCTGGAACAGAAATTCACATCCATCACTGCAATACTCGTACATAAGACCGGTACAAGATACATGATAGTAGTATAGTGTACAGTAGCTCAAGGACCCTTGTCCACTGGAGAACAGTGGGAATCTTCAGATAGATCAAATTGTTTCAGGCAGAGTGAAAAGCCACTACCACCATCAGATGGGTCAATTCTCAGACCTTGCTGTGAATGCACATGACAACTGCGGAAGGAACCGAAAGTGACAAATCAGATGGAGTGATCCAGAAATTGGCACAAAATATTTGAGTTATACAACGACTAAGCAGTTTCCGACAAGCATAACTAGAACACACCAAACCAAACGCAGCTATTGTACTATCAAGTCTCACCGTTGAGAGTTCGGATAAGATTTAGGGAACATTGTGCCAATCTAGACAGTGAATATAGTAACAATCACAAACTATAGCGACTGATTATCTCCAAGACTTCATCACAATAACTGAGATTCTCCCTTTTCCACCATCGCCTCTGCAAAAACATCTTATGCTGGAACTAACCGTCATATTCCTACATCAAAGTCAAAAGGACTCAGTTATACCAGTATGCCAAACCGAAAAACTAGTAACAATTAAAGTTTTGAACACTAAAGACACTAGCATTAGTAGAAAATATGAACAAAAGGCTTGGTTGAGATAGTTGTGTTTAAGCAGGTATAATTTACTCAGAGTTGCATGAGGTACCCACCACTGACTAGTTCCCCACTACATCAAACGCCTTGTCCAGTAGGATTCAACAAAGAGGGTGGCCATGCAATTGTGTAAGGGAAGATCAACGCCCCCAGGCAATCCGCTTTGGGCAACCTCTTGAGGTTCATAGTTTCAAGATCAATGGCGAATAGATGAGTCCACTTCCGGAAGAACACAAGGCCAGCGGCCACCCCGATGACATGTATATCATCTCGGTATGACTGCAGTGAAGGATTGATCATCCGGTATGACTCCAGTGAAGGATCGATCATCTCCGTCAGTGCCTTGTGGAACCTAAACGATTTCTCCACCTGCCTCCATGCCATCCCACCGTCACCGTCCACCGTGCCAGCCCACACCTCGATGCGGTAGCCGGTCATAGTGAGCAGGTGGAGGACATTGACATCCTCCTCTTCTCCTCTGTCGAGGGCGTCGAAGCGGAGATCCCGCAGGGCAGGCGAGAGGTCCAAAACCGAGAGCTCCATGGACGCCGTCCTGAACGCCACCATGTGCTCCCCGCCCTCGAGCCTCCAGTACAGCGACCGGTTCGCCTGCATCACCCGGGAGCCGGCGGCTAGATTGGGCTGGCACGCGATGCCGGCGACGTCGGCCCAGGAGAGCTCGCCGGAGGCCAGGACCAGCGCGCGTAGCTCCCGCGATGCGGCGTCCCGCGAGATGCAAACCGCCCGGAACTCCGACGAGTCGCCGTCGTCGGCGAAGAGGCCGTACCCGACGGCGCGCCCGGCGGGAGGCGCGGGGAGGGAGACGTAGCGGCGGGAGATGGGATCCGCGACGGCGAGTTCATGGGACCCCAGGTTCTCGAGGAGAAGGCGGCCGTTGCGGCAGTCCAGGTCCTTCCACGCGGCTGCGCCCTGGCCCAGCCAACCGCCGCCGGGAAGGAAGGAGAGGGCGAAGTCGCCACCGTTGGCGGCCGCGGCCGACGACGAGGAGGAGGAGGGGGAAGCAGAGATGGGTACGAAGTGGGATTTGCCGATGCGGCGGTTGGGGAAGAGGAGGAGGCAGCCGAGGAGGCGCGGGCAGGAGGGGTGGCGGCCCACACCTCGAAGCGGAGGAGGAAGGGCGCGCTGCAGGCAGCGCGGAGGAAGGGCTTACAGGCGGCGGCTGCGCGGAGGAGGTCGGCGGAGGCCGGAAGGTGGATGAAGACCTCGCGGAGGAGGTCCTCGCCCAGCGCGACGATGGGGGCGCCGGCCGCCGGAGCCATGCGTCGATGGCGCACCTGGGCCGGGATCGGAATGGACAGGTCAAGTCGTGAATTGGGTGGGGAATGAGGAAACTCTGCAATATAAGGGTTAATTGGATCATGACATTATAAATTTTAAATTCGACTACATTTATGAGATATTGGCCCGCTCGTCTGAAACTTGGTTGAAAATACTGTTTCGATTGGTTTGTTGTGAGATAAAAACATTATTCGGTTGATTTGGTGAACAGTAACTTGTGAGGGGGAGTAGCCGGCTGGCTGGACGAGTCCAGACCAGCGAACACCACCATTACACTACTACTTCTCATTTAATAGTGCTGATGTCATTATAATTTCTCTCATACTTAAAATATGTCTGTGTCTTTAAGCTCACATGCATACATACGGATAGCTCCGTATTTTCTTATGGACCAAATTGCCCCTTCCTCTTCTTCTCTCACACTCACGACACAGAGGGGGAGTGAGACCGTGAAGAGCTGATGAGCGGTGAGAGAGGCGAGGAGGAAGAGACAATTTCGTCCATACAAAAATATGAAGCTATCCATATGTCTGCACGGCGGACAATCGGACCTGAACGTGGAGTTCGTCACATCGAAACTAACCTGCTAGGCCGGCCGGCCTACTCAGGGCGGAGTCAGAAAGTTGATTTTTTGAATGTTAGGGGGCCAATTTTAAAAATTTTAGTGGAAAATTTAGATTCATAGAGGGGCCTAGGCCCCTGCCCAGCCCCATCTTCGCCCCTAGGCCTGCTCGACGACACGTGCAGACTCTTCGATGGGTTGGACTTCATCTAATAGAATGCCATGATGGACGGGTCCACGCAACATGGGCGCCCCAACGAAGGGCTCAGGCTGTTTGTGCTCATTAGCTCTTGCCACCCATGCACGCGTGCCCTCGGCAACTGGGGTTTGGGCTTCCGTTGGCCGGAGCCAAGCCCGCTCGTTGATGTCTGGGATAGGGGCCATGGCTTCCTACGTCATGCCCCTACAAAAAGGCGGCACCGCCCACATGCCAATGCGCCGTTCAGGACGTCGCCATCGTGCCCAACTCACCCCTACGCAAAAAAGCCACACCGGCCAAGGTCGTGTGCTCATCTGGAGGTAGAAGATGAGAGAGAATAGAAGAGAAGTTATAGGACTAAGGTGAAAAGAAGACAGAGAAAAAAAACTGAGAAATAATCTACAGCCTGTTCGGGAGGCCGTATCGTATCGTGGATTATTTACTGCTGGCTGGTTTGGTGTGAGAGAAAAACACTGTTCCCGGCTGGAAATTTACGATCGTTTACGAGCAAGCGAACAGGCTGCTAGAATGAGTCTCAGGTTCTCAATACAAAAGTGTAGTGGCACGAGATAAAATAAAAAAATTCACACCAACTCAACTGATGGTAAAATGGACATTTCATCCACCTCATTGACGGTGTTTGTCGCAAAATAGACAGTAGTGACGAGGAACAAAAGTTCAGGCCAACGTCATTGATGATCGGCAAACTTTTTTTAGTGGCATATATATAATTTCAAACTTTCATAATGATATACTCCCGTAGCGATCAATTTAGCTTAAGTTCTAGTTTATAATAAACAGTATTAGTATTTATGTCTTTAAATAAATTAATTATTTATTCTATAACTAATCTAACAATATTTATTTTTATTTTTTATACAAATTTATTAAAAATTAAAATTGAGAATTGTATTTTTTTTGTTTGGACGGATATGGAGTATATGGAAAAACTGGTAAAGACGCTCTCAAGCTTATGGCCCATTGAATGCCCAAAGCCCAGTATTACATTTTTCATTCACCTTCACCCACTCAATTCAGGCTTTCTTTAAAATCAGAGCATAAAGTTTTAGGGTATCATCGAATGTCTCTTGGGGACGTCGCATGGAATGTTAGGATACTAATAAAAAAATAAATTATAGAATCCATCAGTAAACCACGAGATGAATTTATTAAGTCTAATGAATTCATTATTAGCATATGTGTTACTGTAGCACCACATTGTCAAATCATAGACTAATTAGTCTTAAAAGATTCGTCTCGTAAATTAATCGTAAACTGTGTAATTAATTATTTTTTAAGTCTATATTTAATAGTTCATATATGTGTCAAACATTTGACGGAATAGGGTGTAAACTTTTGGAGGCCTCACAGACTGACCTGTCCATTCTGATTCCGGCCCGGGTGCGCCATCGCCGCATGGCTCCGGCGGCCGACGCCCCCATGTTCGCCCTGGGCGATGACCTCGTGCACGTCGCCATTAGGATAGTGACATCATCATCATCATCAGTTTGCGTCAGATGTGCCTCAGTCTTCTTCTCCTACTTACGATTTGGGCACTTTCATGTCCAATGGCCCGTCTTCCCGCAACGCCGACAGACGTTGGGGTCGACCTGCTTCTTCTTCTCCGAAGAAGCTTGGCCACAACGCTCATCATCACCACCACGGCTGGAGGAGGCTGCCTTCCCAGAGTTTCTCCGAGTAACCCACTTCTTCTTTGTCGGTGGCAGTTTACCACTGTCCTTTTTGCTGTCGCATGCTCGGTGCGCTCGTCCACAGTCCGCAGACTCCAGCGTCGTCTCGCCCTTCCTCCGCCGCTTCCGCCGCCGCCACCCCTCTTCCTGCCCGCGCCTCCTCGGCTGCCTCATCCTCTTCCCCAACCGCCGCGGCGGCAAATCCCACTTCGTACCCATCTCTACTTCCTCCTGCCCCTCCTCGTCGTCCTCTGAGGCCGCGGCCGCTAACGGTGGCGACTTCGCCCTCTCCTTCCTTCCCGGCGGCGGTTGTCTGGGCCAGGGCGCAGCCACGTGGAAGCACCTGGACTATCGCAACGGCCGCCTTCTCCTCGAGAACCTGGGATCCCATGAACACGCCGTCGCGCCGTCGGGTACGGCCTCTTCGCCGACGACGGCGACTCGTCGGAGTTCCGGGTGGTTTGCGTCTCGCGGGTCGCCGCCTCGCCCGAGCTGCGCGCGCTGGTCCTGGCTTCCGGCGAGCTCTCCTGGGCCGACGTCGCCGGCATCGCGTGCCAGCCCGATCTAGCTGCCGGCTCCCGGGTGATGCAGGCGAACCGGTCGCTGTACTGGAGGCTCGAGGGCGGTGAGCGTTTGGTGGCGTTCAGCACGGCGTCCATGGAGCTCTCGGTTTGGAGCTCCCGCCTGCCCTGCGGGACCTCCCCTTCGACGCCGTCGACGTGGGTGAAGAGGAGGATGTCAATGTCCTCCACCTGCTCACCATGAGCGGCTTCCGCGTCGAGGTGTGGGCAGGCACGGCGGACGGTGGGGGTGGGATGGCATGGAGGCGGGTGGAGAAATCGATGAGGTTCCACAAGGTAGTGACGGTGGTGACCAATCCTTTATTCCAGTCATACCGCCGGAATGAGGTTGATGTCATCGGGGTGGCCGCTGGCCTTGTGTTCTTTCGGCAGTGGAATCATCTCTTCTCCATTGATCTTGAAACTATGAAGCTAAACCAGTTGCCCAACGTGGAGCCCATGGGGGCGCTGACCTATCCTTACACAATCGCGTGGCCACCCTCTTTCTTGAATCCTGCTGGACAAGGCGGTTGATGTAGTGGGGAACTAGTCAGTGGTGGGTACCTCACGCAATTCTTGAGTAAATATACCTGCTTATAAACGCAGCAATATCAACCAAGCCTTTTATTCACATTTTTCTACTTATTTAAGTTACTTATTATAGTGATGATATGACCTTTAATTTTTGTAGTGAAAAGATTATGCTAGTGTTTTTACTGCCCAAAAGCTTAATTGTTACTACTAGTTTGTTAGGTTTGGTATCCTGCTATAACTGAGTCCTTTTGAGTTTGGTGTATGAATGTGAAGGTAAGCTCCAGCACAACATAAGATGTTTTTGCAGAGGTGATGGTGGAAAAGGAAGAATCTCAGTTATTCTGATGAAGTCTTGGGGATGATCAGTTGCTAGTTGTGATTGTTACTAGTTTCTCCAATGGCGTTGACCCTTGAGTCCTAGGGCCTGTTCGGCAGGACTGAAAAATACTGTTCCGGCTGATTGTTGTGAGAGAAAAATACTGTTCTGGCAGGACGTGAACAGTGATTCTGTGAGAGGAAAAACAAGCCAGCCGGCTGGAAACAAGCCAGCCGAACACAGCCCTATATTGGCACAATGTTCCCTAAATCTTGTCCGTACTCTCAACGGTGAGAGTACAATATTGTGTTTGGTTGGTGTGCTCTAGTTATGCTCCTCAGAAACTGCTTACTCGTTGTATATAACTCTAGTTATTTTGTGCCAATTTCTGGATCACTCCATATGGTTTGTCACTTTCGGTTGTTTCCACAATTATCATGTGCATTCTCTACAAGGACTGAGAATTGATCTATCTGATGGTGGTTTTTCACTCTGCCTGAAGCAATTTGATCTATCTGAAGATTCCCACTGTTCTGCAGTGGACAAGGGTCCTTGAGCTACTACTGTACTATCATGTATCTTGCCCCCATCTTATGTATGAGTATTGCATTGATGGATGTGAGTATCTGTTCCAGGGGCTTCATTATCTAGGTTGATAGCATTGCCTTCTGTGTGAATGTGCCATTTTTTATTTGGACAAGTGATCCTGCTGCTGTAGCCAATCTTGTTCTGGAGTTAGCATTTTTCGGATGCGAACATACCAGTCATCAGCGCATCTCCAATCCCCCCCAAAAAAAAAAAAAGAATTAGTAAATCAATGTGTTTTCTAAGTGGCAAAAAATAATAGAAGCATATCTTTTGGGTTCCTTCGACGGTTTCTAAAATCTCACTCCTAAAATATAGGAGATAATTTTGTATCATGAATCCTGAACTATTTTCAAATTCCTTTCTCTTTTATACATTTGCATTGAGAACTCTATTCTACTACTCATTCTTCCTCACATTCTTCCACCTTCAGATTGTCCAATGGATACGTGCGTGTATATTTCCGCACGATTGGATTGATTTTCCGAAGTGTGAAAAGTTTGGGAGCTGAGATAGGGAGTCGTTGAAGAGCAGTTTTCTTTCAATCTTACAAAAAAAAATAAAGATTGGGAGTGGAGAGCAAGTGTGGAGTTAACATTTTTAGATGTAAACTTAGCTGCTGCTATGATGTTATCATTACGGAAGTCATTAGCACTGGATTCAAAGCAACTCCATTTGCTTGTTAAACATGATCATTCATACGTTATGTACATGGTCTCAAAGGTTAAAGATACAAAGGTGTGAAATCAGATTTGAATCTGCTACCTTCATTGAAGCATGTCCACTTTCGCCTGCTTATCCATCTTCTGAGATGAGTGACTCCAGTCCTGAGAGCAGGGCACCCACTGATGCAGCAAACCCGAATGCATTTTTGTACAAATTTCAAGTGAGATATATGAATAAAGGCTTTGTTGTTGTTGTTGTTCAAGCGAGATATATGAATAAACAAACCTGAAACATAGTATAACAACTAAACTATAACGCATGATGCCCAATTAACCATAAAAAATCAGATATGTATGGCAATAGACTTTCTTCAGAGTGTTTAGTAGCCGGGTCCAAACAATTCATCTTCTGGACACCTGGCTCTAGCAACTCTGAATAATAGACTATATAAAGCATAACTCCATGAATTACAAAAACTAAAAGAAACATAACATCCTATAGATATTCTTTGTTCTGCGATATCAATAAGAGAGCAGGCATAAACCAACAAAATTTCTGGACCATCTATTGAGTATTTGCAAGTCCGGAGGTTTACAGGATTGCTGATGGACAAATTGTACAATCCCTCAATTCCTGACTGCCTAAAAAATGAAGATGAATAAATCATCCTATGGCTCCTAGTGTACAACATAACTCTTAATTCTGTCTATGCTAACATACAACATGACTCAGCTGTGCCGCAAGGTACATGTATGCCTACACAATGGGAGAGTACTCCTGCCGCCATTGTTCACCGTCAGATACTTGCATTTCACTGGCCTTACTGCAGATTTAACTGAAACCTCATGCTCAGTAGCTCATCCATTAAAAAAGAATGATCATGCCCACAAGAGACAATCGATTCCCATTTCAAAGTTTGTGACAGGACTTTCACCAAAATCTTCGCTTGTTTTTTGTATGTCATTCTTTGTTTCTACATATGGTTGTGATAGATCAGATGACCGTATAGATGGTATGGCATGTTCCTTGAGAATGTCTGATGATGCAGCAGCCGCTTCTTCTCGATGCAAAACAACAAGGAAGTCGTCTTCGAATTCGAATGTCAGGAACTTATCTTTACAAGCTACACATTTGAGTCAAACCATGATAAGCTAAGAAGGAAAGGAATCTGAAGGTGTTAGGAATTCATTGAACATAAGGCAGTCAGTACTTACTGTCCACAAGATGAGCAAGGTGATGGATATTCTTTATTGTGGTTCCGTTTAGTTTCATGACCTGGTAACATTATTGGTTAATGTAACCCGTAAGTTCCAATTCACAAGCATTAGAAAGACAACCAAAAGGTAGAAGAGGTTTACTTGTTGATTGCCCATGTGCTCATATCCGATGTTGACCTCGTGCGCCAAAACCTAGATGGCAGTAGTTAATCAAGAGCATAATAGCATAGCAAACCACAAAATTAGTCGACTGAACTAGCCACAAAATAAAGCATACCTGTGAGACAATAACAATTTGCTCGCCCTCAAAGGTTGCTAGAGAGTAACGTGCTTTTGCTAACAATTTCAACTGTATATGAAGATAAGATGACAACACTAACAATAAGAAAATGCATGCCTCAGGACAAAAGTAAGCTGCAAACAAGATCAGCACGCTAATGGTGAAATTACCCCTAATGTATCTTCACACTCCTCCCTGTACATGAACATAAATTTATGATTTAGTAACTAAAAGCTTCATGATATCACTAGTCCTAAAAGGGGAAGTGCACTGGTTACTTACTCTATAAATGGTTCTGTTAAAGGTGTGAAGACAAGCCCGGCAACTATCAGATAAGAAGGTTGGCCACCCTCGACATGAAACGGCACCTTAATTAAGAATTAAGATTCTTGTTAAAAGTGCACCGGTGAAATTTGCAATTCAAGTTTTTGGTAAGATGAGGGTTAGTATGTCACCAAATGTTTTCTTGGCTGCAAAATAGTTTGGACTTTCATGGAATTGCCATCACGAATGATTCCTAGCTGAGCAATATCACCTGCATACCTGAATAATAAAACTATCAAATTTTACTGCAACACATGCTCTAGTGTAGGAAAAAATGTAGCTCCGTAGATTTTAAATAAAGATGCAACAGAATATCAGACATATAGAACATACACATTGCATTGGAAACAAAACAAGGATGATTTAAATGGATCAAGTTTGTAACAATGTATTCATATCCAGAGGAGGCTTATAACGTTAAAAGGGATTCCACATAAGGGCTTGTCCACCCCAATCCACATGGTGGATTGAGGCTCACATGCCAATGGGTGACTGAACAAGAAATTTTACCCATCCATACCCAAAGCACAGTTAACAAAGCACATGATTCACATATAACGCCTAATCACATGCTGACACAATATCCAATCATTACTGTTAATGGAAGATGAACCAAAGTGAAATACAAAATTTTGGACAGCATAAAATTGTCATTATTGGAAGGCTCAGCCGCACATAAAAAAAATGTTTAAGAAACATAGGGAAAAGCAATGTTTTCTGCAAAAGATAACATCAACAAATTATGAAAAGAATGAAAGCTATCAGGAATAAGCTACAAAACTTACTTTTGGCTTGTGAGATAGCGGAAAGCAATCCGTTCCGTGGACCGAAATGGTACTGTTGCTTCACATCCTACTGCGATACCATCAAAGCTAACAATTACATCTCCCTGGAGACAAAACAATCTGATAAGCTTAAACAGACGAAGCAAAAACAGTTTGGACAATCATTAACCCAAAAAGATCCATTTCAATAAAAAACAAGGAAAACTGAAGGCATTCAAATCTGTGAACTGGATCAAATTAGTGAATGTTACCTTTTGCAAAACACTGCTTGCTGGAGCAGTAGGCTCAACCCGACGAACAAGAACACCCTTCAAGAGAAAAGCAAGATGGCATGTCATAGGGACACACTGGACTAACTGACTAAGCTTAGAGTTGTGCTCAAAGCTAAGGACCATCTATTAGTATTTAGAGGACAATTTTTTTTTCTAAATAATTTTAATAACAACTTTTAGAATACTGTATGGATATGCAAGGTACTCTCAGCCAGAAACCATAACTACCAAGTAGCAATCCCACCTAATGTAACTAACTCGCAAACAACAAGGTGCATTTAAGTGCTGATTGAGGCAACCTCAATTAAGTCCATCAATGGATCTGCCACCAGGATGAATGATTCAAAGATGATAGCAAATCTTGCACAAATATTCTTTGTTTTCTTCCAGGTGAAATCTTCCTTAAATATCGTTAGACTAATCTAAGGATAACTGAGGTCCACGTCACAAGAAAAAGAAGCCATCTACACTCAGTCGAAAGTTCTGAATATATGCAAGAATTCAAGCATAATTTATCTCTTTATCTGCTTTTCTTTTTAATTTTATTGCACTATA